TTAGAGAGCTTAGGTCTGGCAGTCAACGAGCCAATAAGTGAATTTTAATTATTTACACAAACTACAGGTCTTTTTTCTCTTCATAAGGCAGTTGTCCAAGTAGACACCTAGCATAAGTTTCTTATTATAAAAAAAGTTGAGTTTGACGATATCTGTGTGTTTTATGGAGCAATGAAATGTTATTAATTCTTCCTGATTTCTGATTCCAAGCATTTATAGCATCCATGACAGAAATTTGCATAATTTTCGTGCGATACAAAAATAGAGAAATTTAAATGGAATTGAAATTTAACGAGGCCATAAAAATAAGTTCAATTACAAATTGTGGGTATGCTAGTTTGCAATTGTCTGGAGACATGGTTTCGTTTTCATGGACAATTAGAGAGCTTAGGTCTGGCAGTCAACGCGCCAATAAGTGAATTTTAATTATTTACACAAACTATAGGTCTTTTTTCTCTTCATAAGGCAGTTGTCCAAGTAGACACCTAGCATAAGTTTCTTATTATAAAAAAAGTTGAGTTTGACGATATCTGTGTGTTTTATGGAGCAATGAAATGTTATCAATTCTTCCTGATTTCTGATTCCAAGCATTTATAGCATCCATGACAGAAATTTGCATAATTTTCGTGCGATACAAAAATAGAGAAATTTAAATGGAATTGAAATTTAACGAGGCCATAAAAATAAGTTCAATTACAAATTGTGGGTATGCTAGTTTGCAATTGTCTGGAGACATGGTTTCGTTTTCATGGACAATTAGAGAGCTTAGGTCTGGCAGTCAACGCGCCAATAAGTGAATTTTAATTATTTACACAAACTATAGGTCTTTTTTCTCTTCATAAGGCAGTTGTCCAAGTAGACACCTAGCATAAGTTTCTTATTATAAAAAAAGTTGAGTTTGACGATATCTGTGTGTTTTATGGAGCAATGAAATGTTATTAATTCTTCCTGATTTCTGATTCCAAGCATTTATAGCATCCATGACAGAAATTTGCATAATTTTCGTGCGATACAAAAATAGAGAAATTTAAATGGAATTGAAATTTAACGAGGCCATAAAAATAAGTTCAATTACAAATTGTGGGTATGCTAGTTTGCAATTGTCTGGAGACATGGTTTCGTTTTCATGGACAATTAGAGAGCTTAGGTCTGGCAGTCAACGCGCCAATAAGTGAATTTTAATTATTTACACAAACTACAGGTCTTTTTTCTCTTCATAAGGCAGTTGTCCAAGTAGACACCTAGCATAAGTTTCTTATTATAAAAAAAGTTGAGTTTGACGATATCTGTGTGTTTTATGGAGCAATGAAATGTTATTAATTCTTCCTGATTTCTGATTCCAAGCATTTACAGCATCCATGACAGATAATTTGTTTACTTATTACGAAAATTACGAATATTATAAGATCGTATAGCTTCTAATCTTGTTTGCTCTTTGATTTTACTTATTTTCCAAGCTATAAGTTAAACAGTAGCAAAAAATTCTTCCTAATTTCTGATTCCAAGCATTTATAGCATCCATGACAGAAATTTGTTTACTTATTACGAAAATTACGAATATTATAAGATCGTATAGCTTCTAATCTTGTTTGCTCTTTGATTTTACTTATTTTCCAAGCTATAAGTTAAACAGTAGCAAAAAATTCTTCCTAATTTCTGATTCCAAGCATTTATAGCATCCATGACAGAAATTTGTTTACTTATTACGAAAATATACGAATGTTATAAGATTGTATAGCTTCTAATCTTGCTTGCTCTTCAATTTGACTTATTTTCCAAACTGAAAGTTAAACAGTAGCAAAAAATCTGATAACTAAATTCCTAAAACCTACGTTAACTTCTAAAGGTTCTCTGAAAACAGTGTTTCTTCGAATTCTTTGACCCCTTCAACAGATCACACTGTATATTATAGCAATGAGAAAACCTTTAGCAGGGTATTAGGTCTGCATTAAGGCTTTAGGTGTTACAGGCCCAGTGGCCTCAGCCAGCTGGAGGACATCCAGGCATTAAGTGAATAGTTATTTCATTCGTGAGCACCGAATCAAAGTATATTCTTTTCTCGATTAATATACCGCATAGAAGGGTTGAAAACGGTTCCATGTGCTTCGTCTTTGGTTGTTTACGGTGTCTATTTTTACTTGGAAAGTTTCACGGACCCCCTGGACCTGGAATCAAGATACACCTAATCAGCTCATCCGCGCAGAGCACGAACTACCACTACGGTATTGAACACCAAAGAATCCCAAGACAATACCTAAAAGCGAACAATTAACAAGTTTCCTTTTCCCTGGAAATACACAATCTCTCTGCGAGACAGTCCCTGCCACTATCTGAAAATGGCGAATCGAAAGAAATTAACGTTAATGCCAAGATTACGTTTTGGACTTTGGAATTCACTAAACACTTAACCATGGATGTTCATATATTTATTCATTTGACGGGAGAATATACAAAATATTTAAAAAAAAAATTTCGTCGATGGTGTAGTACAATTAACAATGGCGTCGAAGCGTTGATGTGTTTAATATGCAGAAAATTTCACGACTTTGCAAACGTTTAACTCACTTACAATTTAAATACATATATTTGAGAATTCCTATTGGTTTGAATAATCGAGGTTCAGCGATGCATGGCAACAATTCGAAAAAGTCTGTCGTTCCTCGAAAGTGAACAACATCGAGGATCGTTCGAACGTGCAACCGCGAATCTCTTTATAAACGAAGGCTCGATCGATCATTCTGTAACGATGATCGTGTATCGTGACTTTGGATACACACGGTTCTTTGACAGTTTGCAAATGAGACCTCGTGTGGTCACTATATTTGTTTTTTCACGAAATGGTTATCGACGTGCTCATCGATTACCGATTGAATTTGTCCATGTGTATCAAGCTCTCCTTCTATTCCTCTCTCTCTCTCTGTGTGTACACAGAAATAGAGAATCCTGCTTTTCTTGTTTGACAGTGGGGGTTGGTAGCCCGGATTCAGTGGCGAGGCACTAAAAGGGCCCGACGATAAATCACTTCAGCAAATTCCTTGTAAAGCACTAAGTGCTGTGTGGCATTTGAAAGGATCTCGAGCATGGCACAACGGCGAGCAAGAATAATTATAAGATTCCATTCGGTGCTTTCGGCTTTTTAAGGATCGTCGAACCGGTGTACTCGATATTTAACCGTTTCATGCTCGATACAGTATTACAGTTTTCTATACAATTTAGACAATTTATATCTTGAGAATATTATCTATTTTTATAAATAATTGACGATGTATGAAAGATCTACAGGTTTTCTGAACCATCCTCAGGAACTTTCTCTTCCTTGTATCAAAAACATCTTTATATAATATTAAAATGCAGTCGATTTTATGGATAGTCAAACTTGCAATTATGAAGATCAAATAAATAGAATAATTTTGTTGAAATACATGTTTACTGAATGAAATACCACTGAAAGTAATATAAAAGGTTGCAGACAATTTATATCTTGAGAATATTATCTATTTTTATAAATAATTGACGATGTATGAAAGATCTACAGGTTTGCTGAACCTTCCTCAGGAACTTTCTCTTCCTTGTATCAAAAACATCTGTATACAATATTAAAATGCAGTCGATTTTATGGATAGTCAAACTTGCAATTATGAAGATAAAATAAATAGAATAATTTTGTTGAAATACATGTTTACTGAATGAAATACCACTGAAAGTAATATAAAAGGTTGCAGACAATTTATATCTTGAGAATATTATCTATTTTTATAAATAATTGACGATGTATGAAAGATCTACAGGTTTTCGGAACCTTCCTCAGGAACTTTCTCTTCCTTGTATCAAAAACATCTTTATATAATATTAAAATGCAGTCGATTTTATGGACAATCAAACTTGCAATTATGAAGATAAAATAAATAGAATAATTTTGTTGAAATACATGTTTACTGAATGAAATACCACTGAAAGTAATATAAAAAGTTACAGACAATTTATATTGCTATTACGATATTGTCTATTTTTCTAAATAATTGTCAAATAGCAAAAAATGATTTTTAAGATCGATGACGTAACTTTCCCCAGAAATTTTATCTTCCTTCTATCAAAAACATCTTTACATAATATTAAAATGCAGTAGAACGATACAGTCGATTTTATGAATAATCAAACTTGCAATTACGAAAATAAAATAAATCGAATAATTTTGTTGAAATACATGTTTACTGAATGAAATACCACTGAAAGTAATATAAAAGGTTACAGACAATTTATATTGCTATTACGATATTGTCTATTTTTCTAAATAATTGTCAAATAGCAAAAAATGATTTTTAAGATCGATGACGTAACTTTCCCCAGAAATTTTATCTTCCTTCTATCAAAAACATCTTTACATAATATTAAAATGCAGTAGAACGATACAGTCGATTTTATGAATAATCAAACTTGCAATTACGAAAATAAAATAAATCGAATAATTTTGTTGAAATACATGTTTACTGAATGAAATACCACTGAAAGTAATATAAAAGGTTACAGACAATTTATATTGCTATCACGATATTGTCTATTTTTCTAAATAATTGTCAAACAGCAAATAAAAAATGATTTTTAAGGTCGATGACGTAACTTTCCCCAGAAATTTTTTTTTATATTAACACTTTACCGACCGATAGCCTATTAATCGACTGTTTTACCGGCCAACGCTTACCGACCGATAGCCTATTAATCAACTGTTTTATCGGCCGACGCTTACCGACCGATAGCCGATTAATTAATCGCTACCGGTCGGTAAAGTGTTAAAATACGGTAGAACGAGGTTGCAACTATGCAAATAAAATAAATAAAATAATTTTGTTGAGATCCACGTTTATCTAATAAAAATCCAATGATAGTAATATAAAAGATAAAATTGATAATTCTTAAAAGTTGCAAAATGTATATTTGAGATATGTTTCTGTTTGAATGCGAGTGACGTGGTTTTAAAAAGCAAATTTCTGTGTTTTTTGCAGGAACGCGCGAACCGGACAGCGACGAGCAGACGAACTTTGAAGTCGCTCAACCGTCCGACACGAGAAATCGCTTAATCAGACCGATGACTTTTGATTTCCCCGATATGAGCTTCGACGACAGCGATGAGATACCGGTAAAGACCTGGCCAAGCATTTTCAGATTGAATCCCTTTGATGGATGGTACGAACGCACGCAAGGTATGTAAAACAAGAACCATCGCAAAAAATCGGGGACCCTAATTATCGTAATCAAATCCATTCCTTCAAAATTATTGGCATGCAAAGTGTTACAAATTTTTTTTAACACTACAAGCAATCACAATTTATTTGCAAAAGTTGTTTTGCACCTGGACATTCAAGGAATATTATTATAAAATATTATTTGTCAAATAATGTTGAAAAAGTTTACCAAATTAAATGCAAAATTATAGGATAATTATTTTATCGACTAAAATGTTTTCAGTCACAAATAACGATTTTAATCTACCAAAATTGCATTTCAAAAAAATTGCAAAATTGCAAAGTTGCTCATAATAGTTGTACTAATGTTATTTACTCTATTTTCACTCTATTTTTTTCTTTATTATGATTCATTTACGTTATCGATATTGATTACCATAAATTTGAATCAGAAGTTACATGAACCATAACACAAGATACAAAATCTAATTGGTCGAATGCATCCAGTTTCAGTCATAAATAATGATTGATTATTTTTAAATTTATTTTAAACTCGATCCAAGTAATGAACAACTTTTCGTTGATGTTAATAAATTTAATGTATTCGTAGATTCCGAGACCCAAGTAACATTTATAATTTTGCATCTCCCGGTAGCTTTAGTTCGTATTTTCAATCCAGAAAGGAGTTATTGTCGGAATCGCGTCGAACCGAATCAACGGAATTCGATAACGACACACAAGTAACACTCGTATTGTTCTATATTTCGTAATATAGTATATTGTATTTAATTAGAGCTCGAAATGTATGGTCCAATTACCCAAATGAAATTTCACTTTGTTGAATTTGTTAACAATAACTTAATTTTAGTAATGAAATTCCGTGAAATTCGCTCATACATGTAAATAGAGAGAAAAGGGGGAAAAGAAAACGACATCGCCGCGCAAACAACTCCATTCAAAGAAGCAAAAAGCTCCTTTGCTTGAGATTCTGGCAAAATTACTAGGGAGCTTCAAGGGTAACGCAAACGAAAAAATAAAACCGTGCGCGTTTAATGATTTATTATGCTATGGTTACGAAAGAAATAGCTTGTAGATTCTTGTTCCAATTTTAAAATGTGGTATAAATGTCTCTAGATTTTCAGACCTACAATTAGGGAACCTCTTTGTGCGTAATTCCACTCATGTAATCTTCACTTCGTTAGTCTGTTCTCGGAAATAGCTACCGCCTACGTTAAGTCCCCATTTGTTCTTAAGATGATCGAGTACCAAGAAATCTGAATTTCCCAGGCTTGAAACGAAACATTATTAGTTTTCTCTGATGGTATTAATGGTGACAAAGTTTCTCGAATTTTCTTTTCCTGATTATGGAAATTTAAATAAAAAACTATAAAACACCCAATTAATGTGTATCTATCGATAAAACTGATAAAATTGGACCAGAGGGGTCTCGTAAAATAAAAGTGTAGTCGTTGTATCTATGAAATTTAATTGCTTTTTAGATCATTTTGGACAAGAATTCTATCATTCTGTAAAAGTACATTAAAATCGAAGAATTCGTGTCCTTCCCTTGTCAGCATTCGTAGAACGTTGATTTGATGAAGTTTAAAAAATTCTAATAAAAAAGTGTCGATTATGAAATATAGCTTCCAAAGGAGAACGTATTTTAGAGAATATGGAGGTTTAGTGACTGTCTCAAACATCGAAAAATCGGTCGAAAGTACGTCCAATTATAAATCTGTGGAGCTAGAATCTACAGTTAAGCCTACTTTCTATATAAAACTACTTAAAAAGCAATTAGATTTCCCACAGATACGACGTCGACGTCTTTATTTTGCTAATTGTATTTTGCTTTGAAACGATCGACCACCACCCCCAACATCGCCCTTCCCTTCTCTGGGATCGTACGTCTGTCTCAGTCGCGACGTTTCGATTGCCTGATGTTCGTAAACATATTCGACGCTAATTACGACCAACCCCATTAGCGTACGCCGCGTATTAGCGAAATGAAACGCGACTACCCCGTTCTGCCCCGCGCTACCATTTTGACTGGATACTTGTCAGCATCTCCGATTTGAACCGTGTCCCATTCGATAAGCACTCGAACCCTAGACGCCCTACCTCCCCGCTGTTGGTAGATTTAGAAAGATACGAACTGTCTTGGTGATACGAAATGACTTCGATTTTAGTGTGCTTTTGCAGAATTTTGGTACAAATTACGAGGAAAACGTGGATTTCAAAAGATGTGGAGCTCCTCTGAATAGTTGGTAGGGTTATAATTGTCTCATTTTAATTATTCGGATCTTGAGTATCTGCATCAAATGCAAGGGTCTTCTGAAAAGTCTTGAGCCTCGACACGAAGATGGCGTTTCTCGTTAAAATCATTTTGGCAGTACAGTGGTATGTGCTTCGACGAATACCTGTGAAAATTTTAGCAATTTTGGACGCTCAGTTGTTGTTTGGGAGTCGTTTGTGTCAGTCGATGTCAGTATTTTTGTAAAGATAGACTTTGGCTCACACTTTGGCAGTCGCCATGACCAAAATTCACGAATTGTGTTTCGAATTGGTTGACCATCGTATTCAGATCTGGATTCTCAGCGATCTTTTCCTCTTTTCTGAGTGTTAGAATATTCACATTTCAATTTCGCGCCTTTCTTTTTGTTATTAAGTGATGTCACTAGGGGGCGCTGTAATAGGTTAAGTGTTTTTCTTCCTTCTTTCGTTTTTATGTATGTGTATGGTTTTTTCCTCTTTCCTGAGTGTTAGAATATTCACATTTCAATTTCGCGCCTTTCTTTTTGTTATTAAGTGACGCTACTAGGGGGCGCTGTAATAGGTTAAGTGTTTTTCTTCCTTCTTTCGTTTTTATGTATGTGTGTGGTTTTTCCTCTTTCCTGAGTGTTAGAATATTCACATTTCAATTTCGCGCCTTTCTTTTTGTTATTAAGTGATGCTACTAGGTGGTGCTGTAGTAGGTTAAGTTCTTTTCTTCCTTCTTTCGTTTTTTCTATGCGTGTGGTTTTTTCCTGATTGATGGGGGTTGCCCAATTTCAATTTCGCGCCTTTCTTTTTGTTATCGAGTGATGCCACTAGATGGCTCTGTAATAGATTAAGTTTTTTTCTTCCTTCTTTCGTTTTTATGTGTGTATGTGGTTTTTTCCTGATTGATGGGGGTTCCCCAATTTCAATTTCCCGCCTTTCTTTTTGTTATTGAGTGATACCACAAGGTGGCGCTCTAATAGGTTAAGTTTTTTTCTCCCTTCTTTCGTTTCTATGTATATGTGTGGTTTTTTCCTGATCGATGGGGGTTACTGTTCGACTGAGCCGTAGATTTTGATATCTGTACGAAATTAAGTGTAATTATCAAACACTAACCTTAAAATATAGCTTAGAGGACTAAGATTTCCATTTAACGAGTAAATGCCTACTTTGCAGAGCAAGACACCTACTATTTGAAAGGGTTAAAAGGGTTACAGCATCGCTAGGAAAAGTGTATTGACTTAACCAATAGACTATGTTGAAAAATGAAGCTATATTTGTAGGATTTAACAATACAATACAAATCATATAATTATAGTAAACAAATTTGGAACGCACAAATTAATAATTAGCAACACAAATTAAAATCACGTCCGTCTTTCACAATTACTCGTTTCTCACTCCCTGTTGCCTCGCTGTCCTAGTCCCTAGTATCCCCTTCTTTCTTTAACAAAACACTTTCAACCCTTTTGCACATAAATTAATATTGAACAAAACTACAGCGTGGCACGAATATTCAATACAAATCTCCTACATATTTAACCGGAAAAATACTTGTTTCTATGTTAGGCTCAGATGAGGGGGAGAAGGAGTTAAAAGAGTAGAAAGAAGGTGAATACCCGGAGTAAGGAACAGAAAACAGATGAAAGTACAGAAATACAGAATTAAAAAAATTAATCAAAATCAAAAAATAGAAGATAAATTGTGTTATTACGAAGCCAATAGTGATTTAGTGCCAGTATTGCACCCAAAATAGAAATAGAAATATGTTAGGCTCAAAACATGCGTCAAAAAGAGTCAGTTTACTACCACACTCTGCAAAAGTACATTAAAATTGAAGTCTGGACGGTTTCTGTTCTTCTTTAGTTAGAATCGGGGGAAGAGAGGGGAGGGGGGTAATTAACACGGCCCAGATATTCGCGACAATATACCGTAGAATTAACTAAACACATAGACCGGCGATCGCGCGATCGAAATGACCACGCGCGCGTTGCTTAGGCCACCACAGAAACGCGATCACGGTTCAACAAGCACAAACATAAAATTACACGGGTCGCGCGCGCCCGTGTCCGTATTCCGCTTACATGCGGTTTGTCAAACGTAACTTCCGGTACCCCGTGCGCCGGTTAATACCCGCGCGCGATCGGTGTGTATACAGCGGGACCGATTGTTGTTTCCCGGTGGCGATACTCCGCGTTGGTCCGCGCTCGTGAAACCATCAACGTCCGACGGGGGAAATTTCACGAATTTCCGGACACTTTGCCGGGGGTACACGTGTGCGTGTACATGCATCGGCACTTTGGATAACCGTTTCACTTGTTCGAAGAAAGAAACAGATCTGTCGAGGCGAGAGCTACCTGAACGAGTAATAATGATGACGTTTTGCTAATTTCAGTAGGTAGTCGAGAGATACGTACCTGCATGTCCGTGTGACTGACAAGGAGAATAACCCAAGAATGGCGACGACGTTTACAGCAATTTATGTTTAGAAAAATTGAATTATTAGAAACTCGATCGTGATTCTAAGACGGGTGAAATTTCTAGTAGAACGCTATATGATTTACTGTCAAGTGTTCCTTTATTTTATGTATTTATTGCAGTATTATGAGGCTCATTTTGGAAACGGAAATATTAAGGGGGCAGGCTCATGTGGGTCCTCATAAAAGTCAATTTTTTATTTCATTTTTTGGAAGTGTATACAGGGTGTTCGGCCACCCCTGGGAAAAATTTTAATGGGGGATTCTAGAGGCCAAAACAAGACG